TATATATATAAGCATTTTCCGCAGTGGAATCGATTTTGCAAAAATTTGTAATACATATAAAATATACGTTCACAAATTGAAACAAATCCCATTGCGAGTCAAGACGAGTCTAAAGGAAAATTCGAAATTTATTATCGCCCCACGTATTTATTACTGATGCGAAAAATACAAGAAACTTTTTCTCTAGAAATTTTTCTCTTGAATTAGTTCTGCTCTTTTCTGCTCAACAATGATCAAATTTACGTTAATCCACTCGAGGAGACTTTAAATCTTGTATACGATAGGGACGAAGATTCTGACAATCCTGCCAAAGGCTCGAGCGAAAATGCAATCATCAGAAAATAAATTTTTGTCTCGCATCGTTACATCAATTTTTCGCGAAGATACAGCATCCGCGTAAAATTACGCGCGCGCGTTCGATTTATGAATGAGGCGACACGCGCGCAGAGATTGGAGGAGGGAGGGGGGAGAGTGGGATAGGTCGCGTCTACTACGCGCGTAGTAGCGCGTACGCACAGCTGACTCGCTCGCTTGAACGAATCAGCTGCTCGTCGCTGCGCGCGACAGTGGTTCGCCTGTCGTGGCAATCGCCTTTCTGCCAAATCATTAATATTCTAAATCAAAAGCTCTCATTGAATTACGACAGATCGCCATTTTCTGTAAAACCCTAGATAGAAATTTAATATCGAAGGATGGTGATTAATTATTTATTAAATGCACTATTGTTCAATGTTACTAATACTTAAAATGAGTAACTTCCAACGTTAAATTGGGTTTCTGTCAGGGGTATTGAATGTTTAACAATGTCTGACAGATTTGGGATTGCTCAAGCCGATCGCTTTTCGTTCGTGAGACACGATTGATTAATTTTGAATGTAATATCTCTCGCTAAGAAATGGAACGGTGTGTCCTTTATTTTAAAATTGAAATTATTAATAATAAATCACATGATAGATGTTGTGATATCTTTTTATAGCGAATAATGTTAGTAGCTGGTACAGACAGCATATAAAAGTTAAAATTTTAATGCCTTCAATAAACTTGGAATCGTGCAGTTATGGCAGATTGCGGAATATTGTCGAATTGTAGTCGACATAAAACACTTTTGTAACAACACTTTTGTTTTGGAATTAAAATTAATATGATATCAAAAGTAGAATGTTTCCCTCGAGGAGAACGAAATTTGTTAAAAAATTATAAATGTAGAAAAATCTTATTTTATTAGAATAATGAAAATAAAATTGTTTCCATAATTTTTTTCCTAAAAATAATATCTAATAAAAGAGCAAAAAAATGAAAGCGATGAAAATATATTCTTGGAACATGTACAGAATTATTTGTTTACCAAAAAACCCAATAATTATATATATATAGTATTTGTTATATGCAAGTATATGTAGAAATCCGTCAGTCGTAATATTTACTTAAAGAACTATTTCACAATATACTCTCTTGACTAAAGTCTCGCGTTTCCACGGAATTCTTCATCTGCATTTTCTGCTTGCATTCCCATCGCGCAATGACACTCGCGCCCGAATCCTTTCCTTCGCTTTTCGCTTGCTTGTCGCAGTGGTCTGCTTTGTCTCATTTCTTCTTTCTTTCTTCGAACCAGCGAGCTGAAGGTTTGCGACACGCCGTCGTCTTCGAGAGATGAAGGCGAATAGTCTCTCCCCATTATCCTCGAGTTTCATTCTTTTCCGTCGGATTATGCGGGAACGCGAATCGCCTGCTTCCCCGAAAAGAACATCCTCTTTTTTTCTTTCCCTTTTTCCCGCGAAGAAAAACTGTGTTCTATCGATCCTTAACCTAACTCGACGCAAACAAACTGAAATTCCGTTTCTGTATATCAATCACGATGTCAGCTTTATCGATTACGCTATTGTATCGCGATAAATGAAGCTGTGCGTTTTCCTTTTGCAATTTTTGCGAGAAATCGCGCGGAAGAGGAAAGGGAAAGTCATTACGAGAGAAAATTATTTTCGCGTTTTTTTCCCCCTTTCTATTTGTAATTCCATTGAATTTATTTACTTACTTAATTGCGTTTAATTATCTTTTTAAATTATAAAGACGTATTCTTGTCAACAAGTTAATAAGAATTACTTTTATAATCTTAAACACTGACGAAAAATATTTTATAAACAATTTAACTACTATGTAATATTACATTTCTCTCAATTTCTTTATCTATTTTGTACATTTATTTTTATATAAATGTCTATCTTTTTATAATTATATTGTTTTTAATGATAGGTAGACATTTGGGATTCATATGCAGCGTTTTCGTGTTTTTCTTTCATTATTACTTCCTGTATTATCCTTTCCGTTTTTATAGGATGTTCCGCGGGAAAGAACTA